GGCACCATCTGTTCAGAGAATACAGACTCAGAGAGGCTGTGGACTCAACACTGGTGCCGCTGGCTGGCTTGTCATGGGACTGAAACCCAACAGTTTCAGGTCTTCCGCTGTCTCCAATGTAGGGAGAGCTAAGTTACCCGCCTTGCTCTTTGGCTGAGAACAGCAGTGTTAAATGACATTACCTATTCACTGAACTGGGGGACCAGTTTTGTTTGTGACGACTTCTATAGTGAAAATGCGGTTTCTTTTGTGACTGTTGACCCCTTGGAGACTAGAACTAATTAGAGTCAAACTAACTTTGAAGAGGCTGAAGAAGCTACACCCATTTCTGTGAAATCCCAGGACATGGCTGCAGCCTTAGGAACCCAGGCTCTGAGTAAAAGCCTCTGGCTGACACTGAACCAACTGTATACAACTGAGAATGAAGTCATTTGGACTTTCTATGGGTTTTTATTTGTGATGGGATTTAGTCTGAGGGGAAGTTGAGTCATAAAAGAGTTTCATATGGTTCAAATTTGGGACATTTTAATGTGGATACAGTCTCTGTGTTCATTTCATAAAGTCTGGTGAGCCACTTTGGACAACGTGACTGGACATAATTTGTCACAAGAAATAGAACAGAGAGTGAACTTTCAGCTTAGGCTGCTGCATGGAGTTCTGCCTGACTCATAGTGCTCGAGTCTTTTGCAGCAGAAAGCAAGATGCCCTTCAGCAGTTCCAGAAGGACTCCATAGGGAGAAGCAGAGTTTAGGAGTGAGCGCAGCAGCACCGTGAGCATGCTCAGCTCTGCTGAGAGGGGCGGCTGCCCTGGTTCCCCCCCCACCCCATGCTGGGACACAATGGGTTACGGCACTGTTCCGCAGCCTCCCATCATGTGTGCGCGGCTGTCACATCTTGTCTACGTTTGCACCATCCATACAAACGTTGATATGTTTTTCTTTAAGTATTCAGTGTGGACTTCATCATCTTTGCGCATGGTAATGTGTTAAAATGTGTTATACATCTTTCCAAATACAGATTAAAATACATAACTAAAATTATTTTTTAAAATAATGCCTGTGAGCATGCTACCTACAGCAACTCATGTGACACCAGTGGAACACACAGTGTAATATACTAAAAAGTTCGAAAAGCTGGCAAATGTTGGGAGGGACGTACCTTACTCTCCAGGTTTCCTCTCTGATCCTGATGACAGAAGGTGGTATTGTGGGAGATATTTGGGGCTCTCCCACCATCCCAAGCAACATAGAAAAGATCTTTCTAAGATTTACAGGAGCTCGGTAAAGTGCTTTCTTATTGTGTCCTTGGCATTCAGCACGCAGAGCTTCTTACTCCCATGTTGGAGTGGGCTTGAGTGAGGACGCCTGTAGTTGCCTGGCCATTCCCCGGCTCATTTCTGGAGGTGTAGTAGCAAACCCTGTTTCTGCTAGAGGCCTAAGCCTCACTCCACCCAGCTTGGCTAGGGAAATCCATGATTTGGATGAGAACATACATCTCAATTGCCTTCTGTCTCCTCTATTTCTCAAACTGGTTAAATTCCAATACAGCACATAGTTACAAAAACAAGTGAACGAATGAGAGAAGTGGTGTTGATGGAAGAATATGCAGGTGGTTATCATACAGCAAAATACTGTGTATATAAACACTTAATATATAAGCTGTTTCTATAACAGCTTGTTATGGAAAAAGTATTTTTTAAAGGATTAACACAACTTGGTACTTAATATTGTTGAGTTCTCCTTCCCCAACTTGGGGTTAGAGTCAAGGAGCAGTCTAGTCTTTCTGGCTGAGTCTGTACACTGGAGCAGGGGCACCCTCCTTTGTTCCCTAGTCTCTGAGAAGCAATGAGATATAATAGAAAGAATATTGGCCTTGGGGTTGGGCCTGGGACAGATTCTGGATGTTTAAAGTTGGGCAAATTACCTAACCTCCCTGAATCTCAGGTTTTACATGGGTAAAACTCCCATTTTAGGGTTGTCATGAGGATTAAAGAAAATGTGTGTGTCAGTAAGACTGCCATTCAGAAAGAAATTCAGATCCATGTCTAGGTATCCACTGGGCATGTCCATATCTAGATAGATTTTAAGAGTTTGGGATCTTTCCCTTGCATGGAAGTGGAGCATGAGTGGTCATGCTTATATTCAGAGGCCTTTTTTAGCACAGATAAAATGCCAAAACAATAAAGATTTTGATCTGATGTGTTTCTTTGTGCAAACAAGCTGCATAGCAAAATGGTGCAGATAAACGCAGATGAAGATGGAATTTACAAAAATAAATGAAATTGTGTTTCTCTAGTATAAAAATAGATCAAATGGTAAGAGCACAGAAATAGGTGAAATGGTAACATAAACTGACTTGTGTAATCAGAGGGTCAACTTTGACATTTTTCTCTCTAGGCCTTTTCTAATAGTTTTGTTGCTAAGGCTACAGTGTTTTTGCCAGATTGGAACAGGATTGTCAACTCTAATGAAGATTAAGTAGCTTTCCCAACTAGATTTTTTTTTTTTAATAAGCATCAGTTAATACTGCTGGCTTTCAAAGCCATGTTCATGAAGAATGGAAAGATCTTTAAAGATCTGTTCTTAGAAAATGTAGCTAATAAAATTTGAAATTTAGCAGCATTTCTATTTGATAGTTATTCCAACACGAATTTTTATCATGGTTACACGGAACAAAGTAACTTAAAATCTAATTTCATATATTTAATAAGAAAATAAGAAATTATTTACCTTAGCCAAAAATTAATTCCCCAAAGAGCGACTGAGGTTACTTAATGAACAATTCTTTTGACTGGTGGGGAAAGTGTTTCACAACTGCTAACAAATGCACTTTATTCTGTGAAGAACACAGATAAGTCATAAGATTAAGTCCTCTGTCTTTTGATTCCTATCCTTCATTGGTTAAAGTCATCTGAGTCTAAGTGTAAATACAAATGCACCCAAAGAAACATGGGAGTTTTGTAAAGCACAATAAATGAAAACCATTGGTTCTAGACACTCAATTGCTAAAAGGATATAAAAGTAAGAGCCATTAGGAAACATGAAGAATCACTCCTTTTGATGAGCCTGCTGAGAAGCCGGTGGATCTTCCTTGGTCATGGACAAAAGAGACCATCTAAACTCTAAAAACTGTGGTGCAATTTGCATGCCTGTTGATCCCAAAATTCTACTTGTGCACTAAAGCATGAGCATTAAATGAAATAATTCATGTTAAGTGCCTAGCCAATAGCAGATTCTATTTTCCTCCTCTGATCTCTTTATATTTTTGTAGCCAGAAACCCCAATGTTAATTTCCAATAAGAAAAGTGAATATTATCAAGTCAAAAGTTCACCTTAATTTGAATATTGCAGCATTAGTGACATCTGGTGGAAAATGAGTTACAATGTAGCATTATTATAGCTATTCTGATCCTTCCTTATAATATCGTTTTCATCACATTTTCACATAACCCACCTCCAAACTCTGTGGGAGGAGTACACTTCCCTTCCACACTAAAATTTGGTTTAGCCACGAGACTTGCCCCCCCCCCCGATCAGTGGAATGTGGGCAAAAATGTCAGTGTGAAAGTGTGGAAGCTAAGTTTTAAGAGCCCTGGCTAGGCTTTTCCCCTACAATGGTAGAATGAGACATGTGACCTGCAGATTTGCATAAGAATAAGACAAGCACCCCAGATAACCCACACTTAACAGGAAAAAAAAAAATGTTTATGGTTATTCTATGGTTGTTTCCTATGAAGCAAAACCCAACTAATACAGGAGATCATTTATACCTCTGTGTAAAATTCCCATGAAGGCTTGACTTCTCTGTCCAATTGATGACACTGCAAGAAAAATCTTGAAGACCAAGTGTGGTTCAGTCCCTTCTGGGGCTCTATTTCAGACCTTGACAGGCCCAATCAGAACATGTTTTCATTCCTCTACCTATGGTAAGCAAAACTGAATCAGAGTCCAGGCCAGGCCTATCAGACTCTTGGAATCTTGGCTTCTCTAGTTTAGCATGGTGTGGAAGTTAAGTCATGCATGCTTTTTTTTCCCTTCCAAATTTTTATTTAAATTCTAGTTAGTTAACATATACTGTAATATTGGTGTCAGGAGAATTTAGTGATTCATCACTTACATATAACACCCAGTGCTCTTCAGTCATTCACAATTCTTGAACCCATTGGTTTAAATATCTCCCTAAGGTGAGCTTCAAGGTATAGGAAAGAGGGTGAGACAAGTATAGTTGGAGCCATAGGCCAAAGCTTTTCCAACTGAGTTTTACCAGTAAAGCTCATAGCTTGGCTCTTACTAAACTCCAGTATATATATTTCCTGATTGATATATAATGTATACAGGGGGAAAGTCAGTAGAAGTCAGTACCATTAGAAATCACAAATTAAGAGTGACTAATATTCGAATCATTTAATTTGGTGAATAAAAACATAAATGACAGAAATTTGAGTATTATCCACGATATATTAAGAAAGTTTCTACCGGTGAGCTTTTTGGGGGAAGAACCACATTATTTCTCGTCATTTAGCAGAGGCAGTGTTTCCAAAAGCAACTTGGAATTTCTTTCCAAAAAGAATTTCAAACTTTTATCCTAAATGTAGTTTCAGGATTTTCAACTCTCTTCATATTTTTACTGATCTTCCATTTCTGCTTTCCTTCTCAACCTAATGTTTCATGTTAAGAGGTTACGAACAGCCCAGAATTCAGTATTAGTGTCCACTTTGTACTACATCTTATGCTGGAAAACCAGACTCTTGACTACCTAATTCAACATCACTTCCATTTCTGAGAAAGACTTGTGGGTGGACCTCAATTAGATAGCTTTAATTCTCAAGGGAGCTGTGGCTCTTTCACAACAGCATTCATTACACCTGTCACCAAATATTGGTACCTACTTGTCTTGCACTGAGAGAACTGCCCTTTATTCTTAACAAGCAGGCAACAGGATCAAAGAGATCAGATTATTCAGGTGAAATAACAAAGACAAATATATATGAGATAAACCTGTGCAGTTACTTTCTGGTAGCTTGCCATATATTTTCCTCTCCTTCTTATCTCAAACTTCAGAAAAGCCAGGACTCTGTTTCATTCATCCCATTACTTGGCACATTAACAGTTGCTCACTTTGCAATTCTTGATTGAATGGATACAGGCTATGTGTTTTTACTTGACAGTGAAGATTAATGAGTTAATACATATAAAGAGCTTAGTATAGTGTCTGATACTAAGCACGTAATTATTTAAAAATGAGGTGAGATTTAGAACAGAGACTAGAAGAGACTTTTTAGAAGTTTGCCTTCAACTGACCTTGGAAAAATAAGGAAAAGTAGGCTGGCAATGAGGCTAGGAGTATAGAAAAGTTCTACAGGCCAACATATGCTAAAACAAATTAATTCCAAATGACATGTATTATTTTATACAAAGAATGATGCTTATTTTAAGTCCACAGTTATAAGATTAAAGGGGTATAATCAAAGCTTGTTCATTAAATTGAAAGTACCTTCAGACTTTTTTAAGTTTGTATTCTTAGGCCCTGGTAGGCATAAGATATTATTTGCTATACTGAATCCATCCTATTTAACTGTGTTAATACTACACCAATATAAAAATATGTTAAGACAAATTTAAACATACATATTTCAACTTTATTACATCATCATTTAAAGCTTGATTTTGTAAAACATAAAAAAATTCTTAAGAGTTCCGTATCACGGGAATTTAAACAGTGGCAATATACACAGCTTTGTAGGTTCAAGTTATATAAATTAAAATCAAATAATTGGAAATGTTTTCAGTATGGAAAATATACAAATGAAATAAATGGCAAAAGGACCCAATAGGAACAATATTTCATTACTTACAGATTATCATTAGATAATTTCAGGATCTAAATAAAGACTGTGAATATTGAGACTTCTTTTGTTGTATTGTATATTGCAGTTATCTCTGTAACCTATATTGAGTCAAGGTACTTGACCCAAAGGCATTTAGCTTTATAGCAATAGTTTTCCATCTACAGTTACCACCTTCGAAGGAATTGACATAACAGTGCTGATGTAATCTGCAAGTTCCCTTTTGAACAATGTGCAATAATTTATGTCAACCCTGTATAAAGTCATACAGGTACCAAAAAAATGGAACAATTATGCACAGTTCAATAGAAGTTTTCCCCACCTAAAAATTAACCAATGAAACAAAATGTATCAACTATAGTTGACTTGGTTTCAGGAAAACCACATCTGAGAATTACAAGTACCATCACTGTCCTTATCTCATTCTCAGTCATTGACAGGAATTTTGTAGGCCACCATGCTATTTACTTTGTGGATTGTAGTAGTAAATGAACGAAGACGGACTTCCTCAGAATTGGTAATAAACTGTGGTCCCGACTCTTCCCATTTTTCAGGAACAACCAAATCTTTGTCTGTATAAATCAGTAGATCAAATGAACCTAAATTGGGGATAAGATCATTAAAGTACAATTATTTTTTCAAAAGTACAACTACCCTTCCTGTCTCTTTCACATTTGAACCACCTATAGTGTCAGAAAAGCTAGGTTAGTTTGATCTCTTTACCTAACTGCTTTTCCTCAGTGGAAATTTTAGTACAAAACATACTGTACTCCTTTTAGTTTATTTTATGAAAAACTCGATTTTTTTTTCTTTAAAGAGAAAAACCACTAAAAATATTTGCAGGAAGTGTATCATTAATCATGAGACAGCATGAATCTAAGCCACAGAAAAGGTAACAACTTGGTAATGTGATTGCCATATCCTAGTACCCAGAACGGCATATGGCATATGGCATATTGTAGGTATTCAGGATATATCTGATGAATGAAGGAGTAACTCAGAAAAGACACAATTACAGCTATAAGTCTTAATTATAAACATAGAAATGTGTAGAAAATAAAAGAAATTACATCAAAATATTCAAGAGTGACTACTGTAGAATACTTTCATTCCTTTCCTTTTTAGCACTTCTAAATAAAATGCAAATAGCATTATTTTAGCTTTATAACATTTTTCTCATTCACGTAACATGACATTGATAATTAAGAAAAAACTTAACGAAAGCGTTAATTCTTAAAGTAGTAGCTTAGTCTTTTCCACAACAAATTTAAGCCAATGTGAAGTTGTAGAATACTTACAAGAAACTTCCAGCAGTGGCAGAAATGTCACCGTAGCTGTGATCTGTCTGATCACTGAACGGATTTCATCTTGAATAGCTTTCTGAGACTTTTCTCTGGGTGCACTATCAAAGAAACCAAATTAATTAATTCATTTTAACTTTAAACAAGTTATTTAAAACACTGGTAAAATTATTTATCTGATTAAGTGCTTCCAAAATCAAATAAGTAATGCATTCAAAAGGAGTTTTTTAACATGAATATAAATATATGTCCTTAAGAAACACAGTAGGCACAATATGTATCTCTATTGTTTCATTTACCCTTCCAATCTTTTTTTTAGGGTTGATCTTAGTATCAGGTCATTAAATAACAGATGACTAGAAAAGCTGCCAAGTGCTTCAAGTCAAGAAAGCTTCAGCATGTCTTAAAGATAACAAGTAGTATTTAAAATACTTAATCAGTATAATCATTTGGCATTTTTAGTAATGCCTAAATGTCTAATATCCTATTGCCTCAAATATGCTAATTATGTATGGAGTTATTTTTATAATTAAACATTTTCTAAAATAGACCAAAGACTTCAGGAGCAAACTTCATTACATTATGAGAGACAGTTTACAGGTAAGCATGCCTAGGACAATGCTAGAAATTAGCATATAATGATGGGCATCTCCCATCCAGAGGATCTAAAAATTTCAGTTTAAGAAGTGTCTAAGGAAATTTGTAGTATTAAATGAAATACAGTAAGATGGGGAAAAGTTTAGGATAATAATTCATGGTTAAAAGTACCTTTCAAAATTCACGAAATGGCCCACCTAGGATAGATACCATGTGTAGCTGTATGTATAGCACCATAAAAAACTGAAGTTTGAAATTTATGGATTTAGCCTAAGGACAATTATTAAAACTCCATGATAGGCATAATTCTTTTGTGAGCTCAATCCTTCTCCACAGAAGATTAAAGATCAAATCTAATATACTTAGACACAAATGACCTTACATGAAACTAGTTCAATACAATTAGAACTCATTTAGTAAAAGAAAACAGTTTTGGAAAAAATTTATTAAATTGGAAGCAATTTACTTCATCCTTACCTGTCATCTTTCGCAGTCTTGTCACACTCAATATCAAATTGCCACCTTTCAAGGACCTCACCACTTTCAATATTTGAGATGACTACCACCAGTTTCTGAACTGAACACTTGTATAACCAATCTGCAATACATAACAAGGCATCTTTTTTGGTTCGCTGCATTACAAAACAACTCTCTTCCCGGGTCTCACTTTCTATCCTCAGCAAATTCCTACCACTAGGTATTTTGGAACTCTGCCAACCTGTACAGAAAACCCGTCCCACAATAACCTACCTCTGGTTTTCGAATTCTCAGTACTTATACCAGATGTATAGTACTGAGTGCTAAAGACAGAGTAGTGAACATGCAGTACACCCTAATCCAAGGTAAGATGCAGGATACAGCTATTAATCTAACCACTGCACTAATAAATGTAAAAATTGTTAATTGTTATAAATGCTATAAAGTGCAGTATGTGATGCAATGAGAGCATAATACAGGAAAATCTGACTCAGGGAGTTTTCACTTGACTTCAGCTCTACAAATAAATACCATTAAATATGCAAAAGGATACAGAAAAGGGCACAGGTCTTAAATACTGAAAAGGGAAGAGCATCTGCCCCGAGGATTGAAAGAACGGTAATCCAACTACAGGAAAGAAAGGGGAGAATGAACAAGTTCAGTTTGTGTAGGATACATATGGGTCAGGCCATGTAAGCCCATGTGGGCCAAATTAAAGAAGTAATACTTGAACCAGGGAAGTCATTACTGTATTTGAAGTATGGTGTGATGAAATTAAACTTGTATTTCAGAACTATCCTTCTGGCTGTGATGTGGAAAGTAGAGTGGAGGTAAAGAGGGGATCCAGAGACATTTATTAATTAGCAATTCAAGCAAGAGGAAATGAGTCTTACAGGATAAACTAGTAGAAATGGATCAGTAGATAGATTCAAGAGATTTCATGGTTAAAACTGTTAAGATTTACTGATTACTTATGAGAAAGGAAGAGGAAAGACTCAGGGATAGCTCCCAGCTTTCTGGTTTATAACATTAGTTGGATGGTTGATCCATTCACTGAGAAATAGACTGCAAATCAGAGAGGATGCTTAAGTTTTGTTTTAAGATTTTAAGTAATCTCCACACCCGACATGGATCTGGAACTTACGACCCCAATATCAAGAGTTGCACGCTCCACTGACTGAGCCAGCCAGAAGCCCCTTAAGGTTAGTTTTCAAGTATCACTGGGATAGCCACATGAAGATATCAAGGGAGCCACTCAATCTATGAGCACAATAGAACTGGGCTGGATGTATGCTTGTGAGTCAACTACACAAAGGGTGTTAGTGAAGCTATGTACATGTCATAGATCACCTAGAGAGAGATTATAGTGAGAAAAGGGCCTCAGGACGAGGCCTGAATTAATCTTGGAAATTGGGATAGTATGCTCAGGAGTCCACAGGTTTTTTTTTTAAGACATAAAAACAATTTTATAATATTTAGGGCTTGTGGGCCACCTAGTTCTCTGTTGCAGAGTCTTAAAAAAAAAGAGCCCTTTAAAAATCTGAAAACATTTTTAGTTTGCAGGCAGTACAAAAATAGGCCACTTGCTGGATATGGGCTGTCAGCTTTGCTTACCCTTTGACATCTCAACTTTTTCTCAATTTAGCTCTGAAAAGGAGGAGATTGGGTAGCGACTTAAGGATTGGGATGTGTGGACATTTTTTTCTTTTAAAACTGAAGACAGATGAAACCAATGAAAATAACTCAAAGAAGTCAAAAATACCAGAGAACAACTGAAGTCCTTAAAAAGGCAAGAGGGATGGAAATTCAAACAGATTGAACAATTTGCCTCTAAGAAGAGTAATTCCTCCATTTTAACTAAAATAAAAGCTCAAAATTGTAAAGGAAGGTCTGCATACACCTGAGGTGAAATATCCTCAGTGCAGTCTTTTTTTTTTTTAAAGATTTTATTTATTTGACACAGAGAGAGAGATCACAAGTAGGCAGAGAGGCAGGCAGAGAGAGAGGAGGAAGCAGACTCCCTGCTCAATCCCAGGACCCTGAGATCATGACTTGAGCCAAAGGCAGAGGCTTAACCCACTGAGCCACCCAGGTGCCCCTCAGTGCAGTCTTAAAGGAGACAACCCAAAAACCAGTAGCTTAGGTGGGGCTTGCCTCTCCATTAAATTACGATGACATAGATTCTTAGTTGCTTACAGGTTTCAGGCTAAATAATCTGAGTACAGCCCTATGAATGAGTATGGGTGATTTAGCCCTGAAGATAATAAAAATACAATTAATCTAATTTTAAAAATAAAGTTCTTGATAACAAAAAAAGTATGTATGACTCACAAATTAAAAAAAGAGATGACTACTGTTCTTTAAGTGTTTTTTGGAACTAGTTTTGGAAAAGCAAATGGGGACCTAGGGAGAAATATTCTACAACACAGAAAAATTACAAGCGAGAATCTTAAGTAGAGAAAAATATGGGGGCAGGGGGGATAGATGGAGAACAAGTACTGATTCAATTCAGTAACTTCTTGAGCTAAAGAAAAACAATGAGTGTTCACATAGAAAAGGCTGACTGACTTCTAAGCAGGATTTTAAAAAAGACAAATGGAAATATGCAAAAAATAAGAAAACTCTATTAGGTGCTCTATTACTTAGTAGTTCTTTTCTTTTTTTTTTTTTTTTTTTTTAAGTTTGGCTCCTAGGTTGGATCTACTTTTATTTTTATCTTAAAGTAATGATGGCTTTAAACTCTACGCAGCTACAGAAAATATATCATATTAAAAATATATGGTGGATTTTTCTCCAATAATGAACACCACCATAGTACGTAAAATTCCAACTTGGTTCTATCTGGCTACATGAACTGCAAAAATCATTTCTGAGGGAGTGGATGGAGACAGTTCTGTAAAGCCATATCAGATTCCTAACAACAAAATATTCAACCCACTCACAATGCAGTATGGGAAGGGTGAACTTTCTTTCAATTTATGTATTATCTGTTTCCTTCCCATTAAGAATCACTGTATTTGAGATTGTAGTGTTTTACACCTCTTTGTACAGAGCTGAAAAATGACCACCAAGATGCTAGAAAACAGTCTTAAAAGGCCTGCAAAACTCAAAATGGTTTTCAACAATTAAATACCTTTCAGTTGTTCCACCACATTATTTAGGTATTTTATGAGCTCAGGATCAGTTGTTACAAGCAAGGTGAGTCCATATTTCTGCACTCTAGTAAAGGTTTCAGATGGATATATGCCACGCTGATACAAAATGCTGTTGATGCCAAATGCTGAAAACAAAGGGAATGTTAAAGAAAAGTCATTATCACATTGTAACTCTGGAAAATAAAATACTTTAGATGTGGCTGCGGTTTCATTAATGGTATAAAACTGTAAATGCCTAAACATGTGTTTGTGGGCATCTTGTTGAAAGCACAGTAGGTAAAAGGTGGCACTAAACATCCTTAAAATCTTGCTTCTAAGTAAGAGAATACGATACCTACATTTCTGTGGCAATAAAAGAAAAACCCCAAACTGCATTTATCTACTGTCGAAGTAGTACTACAGCTCACTGTAATCCAAGTCCCACTTCAGATTATACGGTTCGAGGGTGTCAAAATAGGCTTCTGCATCTGAGTTAGCAACTGATTAACTGCTCCCTCCAATGCTCTCAGCAAGCTTTTCTCTTTTCCCCGCCTTTCTCCTCACAAGTCCTGCCAGAGTCTATTTGAAGGTACAAGTGGCCTAGTCCAAAAAGAGCGTTTCCTAAATCTAATCCATCACCTCCAATACCGGAATCAAAACGCGGCCGAGGGGTTGTCAAAAATATAAATGGGCCCCACCCGGCTGTACTCCGTCTTAAGTCGCGGAGGCAGGGGCTGTGGGGCGGTGGTGGGAAGTGCTTAGGATCTGCAGTTTAAAGCAACGCTGCAGGTGGAGGGGATACGCCTCGAGGCAGAACTCCGCAGCACCTAGGCCTCCTACTCCACCATTAGCAACGCGTCCGGGGGCGGCGCTTGCCTACGCTTCTTCCTAGATTCTCCCGCCAGGCAGGAGGCTGAGGCAGACACAGCTTAATTGGAAGCATCTCGGTGGCCCCTCCACCCCCCACCGCTTCCCCCGCCTCCGCGGCTGAGCCACGGGCCTACCCGGCGGCCTGGCCTCAGTTCTCCCCGCCCTCCGGCCTGCGCGAGGAGGACTTACAGAAGAACTCAGCTACGATTTCGGCGCTCCCGCGCAGGGTGATGCCTTGCTCCCGGGAAAGCTGCAGCGCCATGGCCAGTCCTACAGACGAAGGAGTGAGCTTCCTCCCGGCAGAGAGCGACAGCAGAGACGTCCACACCAGATCCCCGCCACTCGTTTCAAAAGTAACGACGCAGCACGCCGTCGGGCCCTCCGCGCAGGCGCGTCGAGCTTCTAGGCTCCGCCCCACGCGGCGGAGCCTGCAGGTCCTCTCGGCGCCTGATGGAGCCGACCCCTCACGCAGGCGCAGTGGGTGGGCGTGGTCACGCCGTTCCGGGTCGTCCCGCTCCAGAGAGCCCTGGTTGGGCACTTAGAGCTGCGGTCTAGTAGACCGCGCTGTGGGAAGGAGACGCGGAAACCTGACTTTAGTGGCCGCTCCGTAGGCGTGCGGAGTGAGCGACCAGGGAGCACAATTTGTTAGTTTCAAAGCTGTTTTCGAAGTGATATGAACTGTCCGTCAGCTGCATCTTATGTGGTCTCAGTGATCCCTAGCCGGCGATTGAAACTTGCTAGATGCTTCGGGAGTCAGTAAAGAACCGCGTGCGCGGTGGCCAAGGCCACCGCTTTAGAGGGCCTGATTACTGTATGGGAGCGCGGCTTTTCTTGAGAAATTGAGTTATGGTTAAAGGGACGAGCCGCAGCGCCTTTTGTCCTGTATCGGTCCTGGTCTCAGCATTTTTCCCCTCAGTCCCGCAGTGAGGCAGTCTGGAGCGGCAGGGTCTGTAAAGGGCAGTCAGACTTGTGCGTAGTGTACCCCGCGCACGCTGCACCCACAGAGGCCGATCAGGAATAAGTTCACCTCATCAAAAAGACCCACGTACACTGAAGAGCTTTTCAGGGAATTTTGACTCTCAAACTCAATGACTTCATGTTAGGATGGGAAGTACTAAAGTGCACCATTAATGTTCACGTCAGTTGTGAAACAATTTTATTCTTAAAGCAGCTAGGAAAATTATTTGTAAAATGATGTCTCAGTGTGCCACACACATTATGCTATTTAATTATATGAGAAACGCCTTCGTGTCTTATTTTTCTATTATTGCATAACAAATTATCACAAATTAATGGTTCAACACCCTTTTATTATCTTAGCCGTGTATATCAGGAGCTGTTATGATCCAGCTGAGTGTTCTGCGTAAGAGTCTCACAAGGATGAAGTAAAGGTGTCTGCAAGTGGAATCTCATCTAAAATCTGGAGTTGTCTTCCAAGCCCGTTGGTTGCTGGCAGGATTAATGTCCTTCTTTCTTGGACTGAGGTTCTTGGTTTGCTAGTTGTTGGCCGGATGCAAATCTTGTGCCTTTGGCAGATAGTTCTTCCATAGGCCTTCTCATACTTCCAGTCCCACTGACTTCGTGGAGATCCCTTTTAAGGCTTTGTCTAATTCGGTTAGACCTTGTCAGATAATTTCCCCTTTGATGAATCTAATCTGGGAAGTGATACCGCATCATATTCACAGGTTCTGACCACACTCAAGCAGAGGAGATTGTATAAAATGTGCTCTTTAGAGGCCATGGATTTTGTGGCCATCTTAGAATTCTGCTTATGACAGTGTTATGTATCCGATTTTGATCAGTTTGAAGAGTAAACCATAGGTAAGAAGCCGAGTAACCCTAAAATATTCTCCTTACCTCCTTTAGTCTCTTGTACCTGTGTGTATGTGTGTTTGAATCACCATCTTTTCACTCCTTCCACCAGGAACTTAAAGCCAGACTTCTGGCATCACACTGTTAGAGCATGATGCCCACCTTACTACAGATAAAAATTGTTCTCTTTCTGAGAATCTTTATAATACTCAGCACTTCAGTAAAGACTTCCTTCAGTTTCATGGTAATATAGTTTTTAAATTACCTGAAGATACAAATAATTATTACTATAATTTTGGAGATTCTAGAGCTTAAAAGGCTTGCGAAATATATGTTTTCCATGTATAGAAGAAGTATTTATTACTTTTTTTGCACTCTGTGAGGAAAAGTAAGAAATAAGTTTAGAAGACCAGGTCTGTACTTTTTGAGGAGTTTTGTTTACTAGTTTTGTAATCTGGTTTTAATATGTATACTGGAAAAAAATAAGAAAAATTAAAGTCTGCCTAACTCTTCAGCCCCCTTTCAGGTTACTTTCCTAATCTATCAATTCCTTTAGTCACTTTTCTACCTCAGGGCTTTTCATAATGTGCTTTTTAATGCCTAGAAATTGCTATTTCTATGTTCAAATTTCTAATTACATTTTTACTTTTTTTTTCTTAAATGTAACCGTATTGACCTCTTACCCTATAAAATCCTGGCCGTATGTATTCTCATAGCATCTCAGATCACTATTTCAGAGCATTGTTTTCGTTCTTACAATGAAAACAATGACATTATAGTAATTATGCAATGATTTGTGTTATATCATTCCTGTTACTGTAGAGGATCCATGATGACAGTGGCTAGTCCAACAATATTTGTTGAATGAATGATCATTTGAATATTTGCCTAGGAAACTTTCATGGAAGAACCCAAGACATTTTTAAATTGGAGAGCAGGTTGGATGGATGGGTGAGGTCACATTTTGGAAGCTTTGATTATCCATCGGAATTAGGTTGGACATTCCAGGGATTTCTAGACACTTAGAATTAATATAATTAAAGGGGTATTTTTTTCAAGTGTAAATTCAGTAGTGGTTGTAGAATGGATTGTGTATAGGACAGTGAAGAGTGGTGGTCCTCAAACTTGAGAAGGTGAAAGAATCACTTGGGTGTTTTGCTAAATGTAGATTCCTGACTTTTATTCTCCCTTCTCCAAATCTAATTCAGTCTAGTACCATAGCTGCTAGCCACAGGTGGCTCTTAGGCACTTGAAATGTACTTGTCTGAATTGAGATATGCTACAAGTATTAAAATACCAGATTTCAAAAACTTATTATAAAAAAAGAATGTAAAGTATCACAATGATATGTTTTTCAATTGATTACATATTGAAATGATATTTTCACATGTATTAGATTAATTTCACTTGTTTCATTTTAGTTTTTTAATCTGACTACAAGAACATTATAATTACATGTGTGACTTGTGTGAGATTTCTGTTGGAAAGTGATGCTCTACTTAATGGGGTCTAAGAGATTACATATTTTAACCAGCATCCCAAATGATCCTTACACTACTTTTAGAAAAGCATTAGACCATAATGGATATTTTAGTAATGCTGGCCTAAGAGGTTGAGAGCCTGGACTAGATGGATGCCAAAGAGTTTGAATAAGAAGATATATATATATATATATATATATATACACACACACACACACACACACACACACACACACACACATATATGTATATATATATATATAATATTTTGAGGCAAGAATTTAGTTGATGACTTGAGGGAGAAGAATGTACTGGTAGTACAGATAAATCCAAGGTGGTAAGCTTGCAATACAGGAGTGTTGGTAAAATCTGTGGGGATGTTAGGAAGAACTGCCCAAACTCTGAGCCTATTCTATTTCTTATTTAGCACTTAAGATTCCAGAAGCTTTAGAGAGATGTCTATCCTATTAATTTTAATTCCTTGGTTTGACATTGACTTATCTAAATCATCTTATCTTTACACAATTTTTTAAAAAAAACTTATTTTCAGGTACTTGAGTTTAGTTTTATTTATAATTCAATGAAGTCTTTCTTTTTTTTTTAAGATTTTATTTATTTATTTATCAGAGACAGAGGGAGAGAGAGTGAGCAAGCACAGGCAGACAGAGAGGCAGGCAGAGGCAGAGGGAGAAGCAGGCTCCCCGCCGAGCAAGGAGCCCGATGTGGGACTCGATCCCAGGACGCTGGGATCATGACCTGAGCCGAAGGCAGCCGCTTAACCAACTGAGCCACCCAGGCGTCCCTCAATGAAGTCTTTCTAATGTTTGGGGAGGAAGGAGGAATATTTGGATTAGTGAGAAGTATCAGTATAAATTAAGAGTTATTTCTGAAGAAAATTCAAGCAGAGAGCATAACCAAACAAACCCATATCAATAAAAGAGATAACTATGAAAAAGTGTGTCATGAACAGGCCTATATTCAGTATTAGGATGCTAAAACCAGAAATGAAATTGCTAAAGCTAGAATCAAATGGAATTTTAGACTGAAAGTAACTTAATTAATGACTTACTAGAACAATCTTATAACTGAGGAAACTGAGGTCCTGAGTGATACATGGTTAGTCTAAGATTCAACATCTAGTTAGATTAAGTAGTAGAATCTAGAGTTCCTGACTTAGACTCTTGTTAAATTTTATCAATTTGAGGACATGCTAATTAATACTCTTGTTTTTAAAGGCTATTTTTAAAAAATAAGCTGATTTTAAATTAAAATTTTTAAATATTTATTTATTTATTTTAGAGAGCGAGCATGAGTGGGAAAGGCAGAGAGAGAGAGGGCGAGAGAATCTCAAGCAGACTGCCCTGAGCAAGGAGTACCCCATGTGGCTCAATCCCAGGATCCTGAGATCATGATCTGAGCCAAAACCAAGTGCTGGACCCTTAACCGACTAAGCTACCTGGGTGCCCCAAGATTAAGGGTTTTTATTCAATAACCTGTACACATAATTTATCAAGAAAAAAACAGTTACAATCCATAATGCATTTTATGTTAATACACAAACTGTTTCAACTGCCAGAAGATGGCACTATGTACATATAAAATAATACCTTTTAAAACTTAAATGTGTATCTGTTTCAATTTGTGCTTCAGTTCAAAGAAAAATTAAGGAAAAATGTATTTAGTGGCTTCTAAGTTATCTGTATATGTGAAATACATCAGAATGAAATATTAATCATAATATAGAATTCATATCCTTCTTGTAAACACTTAGTATATGGATGCTCAGTATTTATATTTACACTTAATTTGCATATTAAGTTTTTTTACATGGAAAAAGGAATCATTTTAGTTAATTGAATCATTATTCTTACAGACTGATGAACGTTTTCCTTCAAATCACTAGGTATTACTTTATTTCTGAGGTCAACATCTTGACATAAAGCAGTTTTGTTCTAAATCTGATAAAACAGAGGGATAATTTATGATATATTCAATAAGAAATGCATTTACTAAATTTTGAAAAAAATTACTGTGCACATAGATAATAAATAAATT